GATGCTAAGGGCTCAAGTAGAAAGTAGCTGTTTTGCGAATGATGATGGCAACATATGTACGAATGTGCTGGACACAATTGATGTATGTATGGATTGTGATAAGAGTTATATGAGCCCCAAATAAAATGATAAAAAAAACTAGAAATAAAAGTATTGCAAAACAATCTCAAAGATTTTTATAAAGAAAAATCAATTAATTTAAGTCTAGATAAGTTCTTTAAGGTTATAAGGGATACGATGTCATTTTTTAATTAAAAATAATTTTATTGGGGGCTCTTACAACTTTTATAACAATCCATACATCAATTGTATCAAGCATATCTGTACATATGTTGCCATCATTCTTTTCTAGACATTTACTTTCTATTGAGTCTTTGGTATCGGTTCCTCTTTTTTTCTCTCCCTCCTTGCATGGGATTCTTTCATGCAAAAGTTTCAAGCATATCTGTCAGTGATGAGAATAGTATAATGGATCTCCAAGAACTCATCTTTAACATTTATCAGCTTATGGTTGATTATATGGTCCTTCTTCACCCAATAGATCATTTAATGCAAATTCTAGACATCTATTATTTTGTCCTTAAGTATTTCAATATGTATTCTAGATGATACACACTCGTTTTATTTTATTTATTTATTTTTAACAGTTTTATTGACATATAATTAATGTACCATACAAATCAATGGTTTAAATATATTAAATATATTAAAAAGAATTGTCCGATCATCATCACAATCAATTTTAGAACATTTTATTCATTCTTTACCCATTATTATTATCTTCTCATTACCCTCAACTTCCCCTGCCATAACCCTAAGGAACTTTAATGTAGTTACTCTCTTTACAGATTACCTATACTGGATATCTTTCTTTTTTCCCATACTGGATTTCATATCAAGAAAATTATACAAAACCCCAACAATGACAAAAAAATAAAACACAGAATAACTTCAATCCAAAAGAAAATCAAGGACAGACAACCGAAAAGTGGGTGAAGGGAGACGTCGGACAGGGCAAGATATGACAAAATACCCATTTATAAACTATCAAGGGCTCATGAGGGAGGGGGGAGCGGGGAGGGAGGGGAAAAATGAGGACCTAATGTCGGGGGTTTAAATGGAGAGAAAATGTTTTGAGAAACGATGTACAAATGCTCTTTACACAATTGATGTGTGTATGGATTGGGATGACAGTTGTATGAGCCCCTAATAAAATGTTTAAAAATAAATAAATAAATAAAAAGAAAATCAAGGAAAATAGAAATTAGAATAAATTATACACGAGTCAAAGGGAAAACAAGAGGTAATATGTTACATGTTAACCTAGCTGTAGCTACAGTAATCCACTTCTGTTGTAGCCTACTGTCCGTTCCCAGAAAGAAACAACCCAGACCGCTGACGAGTTCAAAAGAAAATGTTTTATTACCTGTGCAGGCACTGTCAGCCCTCTTGAGAGGAGACTGAGCAGTGGCCTGTCTCATTTTCCAAAGGTTTTTATACTTTCGCAATGTGCAGGTATGCAAGCAGAGTACAGAAGCAGGATACTGCGGTTAGCCATTCGCAGTGAAACAATGACTACTCTTAGTTGAACAATAACCACTCTGATCGTTCTTCCAAGCCTTTTGAACATACATTTCCTTCGGTACAGTCCGTTGCGCTTGTCAGCACAGCCTGCTTCCCTAATATCAGCTAGTTCATTTATAGTTCATAATGGCTTCTGTCAGCTCACAATGGCTTCACTCTTGTCAAGGCTGTGTAAGCTTTTCCTAGAGCTACTACATTTGCACTCTGTTTGAGGGCAAGATTAGTCACATCCCTAGTCAGTGGCCTAAGGGAGTTAAGTGGAGGTTTAATCCATGCGGGGACTCTACAAATGGATTTTGGGGCTTTCACTGTCATCCATAGACGTCTGCAAACCAGGGGATCAGAATTTAATCTCTAATGTGATTCCTCCCTCTGATCTTGGATTTACTTATTTATAATCCTTAGGTCACTTGGGTTGTTGTGTTCC